AAAGAAAAATGCACTATTTTCTTAATGTTTTATGATGCATTGTAGATGTCAGCAATACCATAGCAAACCCCCAAGCCCTGGGACATGGAGGAGCGTGGGAGGTTGTTGGGGCCTATGGTAGCTTTAAGGTGTCCAAAAGAAAAGACACCGAAAGTGGGATCCATGCATAAATATAAAGTCATTTTGCAGATTTGGATCATCATCATCATCATCATCATCGCACAACCCCAACCCACATGAGGGAATGCCATTAGCATAATAATTGAAGAAGGAAGACGGACGAAGCTTAGCTTACAACTTAGAAGAACTAGCGTGTAAGGAAGAGCATGATTGATTGCTATAATGATGAATGAGTGGTACTCTATTCGCTTTATTAAAGAAGAAAGTACATCAAGTTTTAATGTTTTAAAAATTTTCAACCTTGTATATATGAAAGCTGTGTTGTGTTGTTATGTATTTGCTTCAATCCATGAAGACTTTATGCGGGTTCATTATTAAGAGTCTTATTCCATGCTCCTGTTTCTTTTTCTTTTTTTCTTTTTTAATTTATGAAGGAGGGACGTTTCGAATTTGGGATCTCTTCCAACATTGGGAAGAGAAATACCACTAAACTAACAACTATAGTTGGTTCCATCCTCTTGTTTTCATAGTACATTATATCACTCTTAACGAATAATTATATATATATATATATAAAAAAGTGCACATGGAAAATATAACGTTCCTCACATATATATAATTACAGAATTTTGCTACGCTCATCAAATATGATTACTAAATTTAAAATATTTCATTTATTCAGTTTGGGAGCCACTCTAGAAACCTTATTCAATGAGAAATTTTGATATGAATATCTTTGGTGAAGCATATTGTTGATAATTATAGGGTTAAGCCTTTTTGTTTTTAAATATTGGAGAGAATGATTCAAATTTGAGACATCTTCCAATGTTGGGAATAGAAATACCACTAAATCAAGAGTACGTAAAAGCGAGTTGGTAAATCATATATGCATAGGGTTAGGCTGATGATGCAGATGAATACAAATAGGCTAATAGCTAGGCAGATGAAAGTTGGGGCATTCACACAAATACCCATATCCAAGCACAAGGAATCAAACAGCTAGGAGCCAGCTTTTACATCATTAAAGTGACCCAAAAGACAAAGAGTACCATATATATATATATATATATATATATATATTACATACATCTATGGATATCGTGAGGGAAGAAGAGTACAGTAAGTTTCTAACTTGGTTTAGGCACCACATAGATTCAGCATCTTCATCTCTTGCATGCCCTCATCCTCTGGGATTTGGGGTCGCAGCTATTGTCTAAGATAGGACTTGCACGCTGTCATCTAGGGTACCACATATACGGACGGCAAAATAGTAAAAACTATTTGTAGCAGATTATTATCGACTAGATCTCTATATATTAGTCATATGCAAGCGTGAGTTCAGTCAGTTGGTTAGGATAGTGAGTCTGTCCTCTTGCACCTAAGTTCGAGTCCCCCTCCCCGTAAAATAGATTAATTTACAATATTCAAACTATCGCTTGTATTAAATAAATAAATAAAATAGATTTCACCTCTATTAATGATTTGGTCTACAATTTTATGTTGTGTCGAGGGTTTCACTTCTGTTAATGATTTTGATCCATAATTTTATGTCATGTTACGAGTCTACCCAAATTATAACAATATACAATAATTGTACCATAAACCCTTGACGACATATTTCTACACCGAAAAAGTGCAACTTAATCGATTGTCTCTTTCTCTGGTTTGGTCCTTTATTTTTGTTGCCTCAGCACAACAATTAATTAAACCCCCTAATCCTAGATTTGATTCTAAGAAGTAGAGATCAGATATGCAAAATATATCCAATTCAAGAAAATGGATGGTGATGTGCCAATATTACATAATAGATTAAAGATAGCTAGGGTCACAGTCACATAGTAATTATACTATTGCGTCAAATAACGCCTGATGCAATTTGGAATGAAGACGTCAAATAACGCCCGATGCAATTTGGAATGAAGACGTAAAGTATATATCATATATACAAACTATAGTTAAAATCAACATATAACATTCCAAAATATCACCAAGGGGCAACGTACAAATGAATTAATATTTGGGATAGTCGCTTCTAAATGTGTACCTGTGTGACAGCTAAGTATGAATATAATTAATCTAATCAATCCTATGTATCACCCTAATTAAGGAGAATTAAGAAATAAAATGAAGATGATGTGTCAAAGTAGAATGCCCTAAACTGGATCTTGACTCCTGACTAAGTTATTATGGTCCACTTCTTGAATAGGTTATTAGGACATGGACCAATTCCTCTTCAACACTATTTTGCTTTTCTTGACCATAATTTATTAGGGAGGGGAAATCAAACCTAGAACATCATATGCATGAGTAAATATTCTTAACTACTTGAGCTACAAGTCGCATACTGCATTACAGAAAGTGGTGTTACTTAAGTACGGATTAAGGAGACTTACGATACTATAGTACTTTTAGATGAGGTTTAAGTCATTATAATTAGCTTATAACATATTTATTTTAATATAATTGTATCATAAGAAGCTAATTAAAATATGTCAAATGTGTCATTACTTTGGTACAAGTACCTAAGTTATATTTCTTCTACGTCACATGCATGCTGACCTTGCCATATAGAAGGGATTGAGGCGATGGGAAGCTGTCACTATTAACTTGAACCTAATTTGTTATGTTTATTCCTCTCATATTACATGACTTTACAGATTTTAATCACAGTCCTTTTCACTGAACTAACATGGACGATATGAAATGCAATGTAGTGTTTCACATTCTAAGAAATAATTCATAGTCTAATAACATAACATTTCATTCATTAACAATAGTCGAACCACTCTTAAACAAGGGTGAGCTCTAGGCTCTAAGGCAAATATTTAGAAAAAAATAGGATTTTATTGCTAATATTTAGGAAGTTTAACCTATTCAGTGGAAACTAACCCATCCTATTCCCAAAAAAATTAGTCCACTCCACTTTAGCAACTCCTTAAACGGTCAAAAAAAAAAGTTATGATCCACACCATTACGAAAATTCTTGATTCCCACATTTTTTTTTTATAAACACGTGTTTCTTTCATAGATACTTGACCCGTTGTTGTCTAACATTCTGTACTACATTTTCTGTGTTTCATCATCTCACACACAGCCGACCTCTTGAATTGGTTTTCTCAATTTTATCATATATATATATATATATATATATTATGAACAGTCAAGTAAACGAGAACAGTGATCCCTTGTCAATTTCAACCCCAATGCTGGCCATTTGACTACCTACGTACGAGACATTTAGTTAAAAATGAAACGTTTCAATCAAACAAACCACTTGGGAGATGTAGCACCAAACCCGACACACACACCCCCACTCCCCCGAACAAAAAAACTAGCATGGGAATAATCATGTTTTCTAATGAACTATGGCATTTGGAAGAGAAGTGATTTGAATTTAGGAAAATATTTGTCTTTACAATATTAATGTGGGATTGCGTTTCTGTCAAGAAACTAAATATTATAATAAGACAAGTAATTTTAAGTTTGATTATATAAACATAACCATTAATGTCCTTTTATCAAAACATGATTTGTCGAAAAGAACCGAGCATATGAACCGTCTAGTCTGATATCTCAATAACATAACATATTACATTTTCAAACAATATAACGCATACATTTGTGTATTATACACATCTATATTCTAGTAATCGCATTCAACTAATTAGAATTAAGGTTATTCATTCGTAACTCGTTAATGTTGGGTGTGTGCTGCACATGCACTTATTATGATGCGTTTACAGTAAGGGTTTAGCCAGCAACATGAAGTTAATTTTATACGTTAGAGTAAAGAGGAATAAAGAAATGGACAACAAAATACCTGGGAACAAACGACGTAGTTTCATGCAAGAAAATAGATTTAGAAATGAAACGTGGCTAGCCTATGATGCAATTTATAACGTCAAGATTACGATTGGCTGAGGTGTTCGTTGCATTGAGGAGCGTGTGGGAAGGATGGGGCATGTCAATTGAGTGCAATATCTCAAAAAGTGGTCCAAAAAGACCCGAAAATGGGGTCTATTTTGGCATATTCGGGTCAGCCATCCCACATGAGTGTGTCTGTCTGGCATCGGTCTTTCAACTTTCCAGTTAGAAATATTGCGAGGCCAAGTAGGGTTCATGGAAATAAAGGGTAAGAAGAAAATGTCTACTTGAAATTAATCTAAAACGACTACAAGTTCTATATCATATCGACTATGTCCTCTCATGTGAGTAATACTTTGGTGTAACCGTTTGTTTTTATATAATCTTAGAATGTGAATATTCAATATAAAACCAACTCATAATGGTAGAGAGACTCAAAATATTTTAAATTTCTAAAGTAAACTTTCAACCTTTCAATGCGGGATACTCTTGATACACTATGTTAATTTTTTTATTTTTTATTTTTGCCAAAATACTATGTTAATACTTGATTTGTATCTTTCTTCTCTTGCAAAGTAAGAAATTCAACTAAGTATACATGATCTATAATTTTTTTTCTAAGTATTTATGACCTCCTCAAGCCACAACATGAATTAATTAATTAGTTTGGAAAATAAATGTTTTTCCTTATTTATTAAATAAGAAAAGCTCGTTCCATTCAACTTTGGTTATATTATTTATCGTGTTCAAAATCACTAAAACTTTTAATCCTTTTTTTGTTTTGTTTTGACAAAGTGATATTCTAAACTTAATGTATAGGGGAATCGAACTTGGGTGTAAGAGGGTGGGCACATTGTCTTGACTAATTGACCTAATCCATGTCTGCTATTAAATTTCAATCCTTAGTAAGCTTGAAAGATATTTGCACAACCTATATATCCATATGTGAGAGAGAGAGAGAGAGAGAGAGAGAGAGAGGAGTACCAGTTCTTCTTCTTACAAGAATAATACCACTATTGGATTGAGCTTTTATTTAATTAGTAAATGAGCAGTAGAATAGCTAGCAATATAGTACACAAATTCTAATTTAGAATGCATAGCATGATGAGCAATCAACCTTAATTCAAATTGCAACAGAGTGACTGCTCATAATGTTATCCCATTCTACAAAAGCTCCGTACTATATGCTGCGGTACTACTACTCCTACGGTACTAAAACAGTACTAGGGGTGCTTAAATCGTTAAATTAAACCTAAAACCCACTCCCGTAAGCCGGAGCCCAGTAATCAGCTCCATTGTCACTCCCAACATGTTGAGTGAAAGACACAGGAACCAAGCACAACCCTTTACTTCTTAGATCCTTTGCTTTATCTTGTGATGAAGGATGCTGTAATTATCATAACAAACAATGGCAATCAATTAATTAATTCTTCAAGTTCATCATATACGCAATTAATTAATTAATTAATCATCATTAATGATGATGATCATCATAATGCATGATTATTATAATGAATTTAGAAATGGTGATGAACAGTTTGATCAAATCAAGAATATGTACCTGGTTTGGAGCACCTTTTCTTTTCAGGCAGTTGTCATTCAACAGCTAATAAATAGGGAAAAAAGAGAGAAGAAAAGTATGATGAGTAATATTAATTAACCTTTTGATTCCACACCAGCTTAGTTAGGTATAGTGCAGATTATGGTTCTTAATTATTAATTTAAATAATTTGGAAAGCTGAAAACCTTGTTCATTGAGTGCTTTTCTTTATCATATTATGAATAAAATAATTTGTTAGATGCTTTTTTGTATTCAAAACCTTCCCTGCCTGCTTTTGATGGGGTGATGGATCCAATAAAGCATACCTGACCAGGGTCTTCAGGAAATACACATGTACAATTCCTTTCTCCTTGAACCTAAGGTAATTAAATTCTCTATCATCAATTATATATTCTAATTAATTTATGCACATAGTAATTAACTAATTGATCTACCTAGTCCACATGCTTAATTTCTCAAAATATGAATATGAGAGAGAGAGAGAGAGAGAGCGCTTTGGGAAATGGGATATATGGGCACTTACAGACTGTTGGTTCCTCATGTTTTTTGAGGCATTGCCCAAGTAAGGGGAGCTGAGGGCCTGCAAACAAAGGGGAAGGGGAAAAAGGAATAAAGTTTATGACTTCCATAACTAAAGAATTTTAGAAAAAGCATGAATTATTGAAACTTTAAGTGCATGCTCTTCACTGATTCTGAGCTGCTAGCAGAAGAGAGAGTGTATATAATTTGATAGAAACATCACCTCAATTTGACCCTGAAGGAATCTGATATACCCAATGGCTTCTAGCAAGACTGAAGCAGTGTCAGTCTGCAAAAGAGAAACACACATACACACACCACAGTCATCTCTCTCTGGTCCTCTTTTATGTTAAAAGAGAGAATCCAAGTGAAATTTAAATAGAAAAAAAGTTAAAGAAGTAAAAAGAGCTGCTTTGATCTGGGTTTGGAAAAATAATTCTCTTCATTGGATTTTATCATAGAAAAAGGAAACAGAAAAAAAAAAAAACAAAAACAAAAACAAAAAAAATGAAATTCCTAGTTTTCACCTTTCCAAATGGGGATACCAGTTGGTGAAGGGCTGTTATTCTATCACCTAGCTTCTCCTTCCTCACCTGGTTCAGAGTAAATAAATAGATCAGTAATTTAGTAATTGCTTATTTTAATGATGGATCATATTGGTCACCACAATAATTTTTTTAATTTCACTTAGATGCTCAAAGAAAATTACAACTAGTAAAAAGGAGAGAGATTATTAACTGTGTTACCTTTAGAGGTGGTTGGCTTGGAGATGGTTGAACCCTAGCCTTCTTGCACATCCCACCAGTGGCAGTGCTATTACACTAGTAAAAACAACGTGCACATTCAAATATTAAAAAACCCATATATAATAATAAAAACATAATTTTATGAGCAGAAAGACAAGGCAGAACTTGTAGCAAAACTAAAGAATAATAAGGAGAAAATTTCTTTCTTACCTCAGATGAGTGATCTGCATGTTGGTTCCTCTTATTGTCAGCTTTGTTATAGGAGAAGTCCAAGATGTTATTATTGCTTAAACTAGTGACACAAGACCTAGGGGAAGAAACTGGCATGATTTGAACTGGGGACCAAACAGGCCTGCTGCTTGGTGCCAGCTGAAATTCTTCATCTCCATGAGGATTATTGCACAAGTTAATGCTGTTCTGGGAATTAGACTCTTGCTTTATAAAATCAACAACAGGAGCCCTTGGATATTGTGGTATCAAGATTTGGTCCTCCTCCCAATTTTCCAACCTGCCTTTAGGTTGAAAATGACTTAGAGTACCGAAGCCATCTTCTTGGCTGGACAATCCACCCCTGAAAAATAATCAAAAGATTCACCAAATAATTAATTAGTACCCCTCAAACATTTCATTACAAGACTCAGAACCAAGCCAAAGATCAATCATTAGATCAAACAACTATTTATAAAAAGCCTAGGCACACCAACACCAACACATACAGAAACACAAATATATCTCACAGAGAGAGAGAGAGGTACAAAAGTAATTGGCTCCAGGACTGTGGAGGCTCTAGGTTATGCTCAGGCAAAGAATTCAGAGGGAGTGAATTAGAAGATCCAAGCTGCACATATTGAGAAGGGAAGAGAGACGGTGGATGCATGCTGCTCCACCAGTTAGGGTTTCCAGCCATCATTTGTTGCACTTATGACCACTCCAAAAACACTTGTTCACTTCATGCTTGCTTTGATCAGAAGATCGAAGGAAACTAAAAATGAATTTTGCTTTCTTTTCCTCTCTTTCTCTCTCTCTCTCTTTTTCTCTCTCTCTCTCTCTCTCTCTCTCTCTCTCTCACACACACACACACACACAAACACAAACACACAATCTCTCTCTCTCTCTATCTCTCTCACACGCACACACACATACACTTTCTTATGTTCCCCTGTATATGCACCCAAACAAGACTTTGCTAGCCAAAGCTTTATGAGTACTGTTGTTTGCTTTCTCGGATGAGGTTGAAGAAGCTTAAGTCTATGGCCTTTAAAAAAATTTACAAAGGGTGGGATTGGGAACTTTGCATATTGTGTTTCTCTTTCCATTTTATTGTTTCATTTGTTTAGTAATATCTTTTTATATTCCTACTTTTGCTTTTTTTCTAAAGTGGGGCAAAAAGCTGGTGGGGAGTGTTTTCAGGCCCTCATAAACTAATGGCTCCCAAGGCTTACTTCCTCTAATTGGGGTTGTACCTTGGGAAGTTGGGCTCGTTTATAATTGGAGTTTGCCTTAGGGTTGGGGGAGTTATAGAGTACTGTTCATATCAATGTCATATATGCTTTATTTATATTCTTGATGCAATAATTCGCCTCAACAAACCAAACACAGAATCTGAGTGGGTGAATAAAATAAAGCAGACTCTGAATTTATAATAGATAATGTTGGGAAATAGTGTTATAAATAGATCTAGCACTGTTTTCAGGACATAAACGAAAGTAGTTCATCGATATTTAAAACAGAAATGTATATAAATTATTGTCATGCGCAGAAAAACTCGTAACCAAAGCAAAACTACTTTAGTTTTGAAAAACAAATATTAACCTCTAAAACTAATTCATTTTAGTCAGAGTTAAATACTTTTTTGGTTATTAAATTTTACACGAAATTTCAATTTGGTCATTGAGAAGAAAAAAATTTAGCCAAAATCCATGCAAATGCTATGGTTAGTGTAGCATCAATTTAAGCTAAAAAAAGGAATCATTTCAAGACAAAATATGTTAATATATAATAATTTCACAAAAATGCAAATCGGTCTTCTCAAAAAAGCTCAAATCATAATCCCATTGAGTACCGTACTCCCACATTATAACTATATGTCAATACATAGATTTGACAAACAAAAAAGTTCAAAATAAAGTTTTGCATTTGCACGGCTTTTGGCTAAATTTTGTTTTAGTAGCCAATATGAAGTTTCATGTAACACCCAATGACTAAAAAGATATTTAACCCACTAACTTAACAGAAACTAACTGCAAGTCTAAAAATTGTGAATTTTTTATAATACAATGATCAATTTGTATAGATTTGTTTCTCAGTAACCAAATTGAAATTTCGTGTAAAACCCAGTGACCAAAAATATATTTAACCCTTTTAGTCATAAGTGTGGGGTCAGGGATTTTATTTCATTTAATTAAATTTTACTCCTTCAAGATCCTTTATGTCAATTATTTGCATAACAAAGAACAATTAATATCGAAATCGCCAATGGAGTTTAGCTTAGTGAAAAAGGGTCTTAACTTATAACCTAATGATTTCAAGTTCGAACCCTCCCCAGTATCGCTTGTATTAAAAGAACAATCTAAATCATGAGAGCTATTATGCAAGAGCACGCTATATGATGGACACATGTGAGGATGGAAGGGGTTTACCTATTAACTAATTAGTAGAATATTTGGATTCTTTTAAGATTATATGTTAATTAACCCTTTAATTTAGCACTCTCTGGTTGATTATTCTTAGAAAACTAACAACACAAGTCCAACATAAGTTGTAGGTTGTTCCTTCCTAATTTGTTTGGGAAAAAGTTGCTAAGAATCTTCCGTAATGGCATGACAAAGTGGTTAAAAACCATTGGTTGATGTTCACCAACGGGTGAGAATAAAGTCACTTTAGATATAAACAGATGTTTGTTAATTATCGAGTCTCAATCCGCCGCTTAAAGTTCCCATAGACTTCTTGGATATTATTACAACCTTTTAATTACACAAAGTTGCATAATGTCATTTCTATGAGGTTTCTACCATTGACCAAAGAAAAAAATGCAATTGAAAAACAGATCAACGTTGACATTGGACTTTCGTTTTAATGAGGTACAAGATTTGTATAGCATGATTAAATAGCTAACTGGAATATCCGTAGATATGGGAGAAGGTTGAGAAGACACCACAAATAAGTTTTTTCCCCTCCTTTTTCTTTTGTTGGGTGGAGGTCATATTTGGAAGTATAATTTAGAAAATGCTAGAAATCTTTTAATATAAGGGATTTTTGTAGACATGTCACCTGAATTTATATCTCAATTTCAATTTGTCACCTTAAAGAAAAATTTAAGACAAATGTCACTTTAATTTTTCAAAATCCATGATTTGTCATTTGACTTTAACACCATCTAATTTTCCATCCATTTTTAAGGGTATTTTAAAAATGAAAAAATCATTATAAAAAAAAAATTATACATGGTTAGAGAGAAAGAGAGAGAGAGAGAGAGAGAGAGAGAGAGAGAGAAGAGAGGGAAGGGGATCCTGTGCGATGTGTTTTGGGGACGGGTAGAGGAGAAAGGGAGAGAGAGGTCCCTTTTTTCTTCTTTCTTTCTTTTTTTTTTTTTTTTTTTTTTTTTTTTTTTTTTTTGAAAATTGAAAGACTAAAATACCCTTAAAATGGATTGAAAATTGGATAGTGTTAAAATTAGATGACAAATCATAGATTTTGAAAAATTAAGGTGACATTTCTCTTAATTTTTTTCTTTAAGGTGACAAATTAAAACTAAGGTATAAGTTCAGGTGACATTTTGACAATTATCCCCTAATAGAGTTGTTTGCTTCATTTTTCTTTCTTGGTTTAAAATCTATAAACAATCCATATAAGCTATTGGAAGTAAGTACATAAACAACTATATTGAGGTGAGCATAGACTTTGTTCTTTTTTAGGAGATTCAAGCCTTTTTTGATTGGTACGACCGCAACGGACATTCAATTGACTTATCCACTCTAAGATACAAGAGTCTAACTAAAATCTTACATGAATTATACCAATCTACACTAATGGTTGAACCCAAAGTTCCACCAAATTTCATCTTTCTCTATTTTCTTGATAAAACTAACACTAATTGGTAAGTATATCCAATTATGCGAATCCATATATATCCTTATGCACACCATTACTTAAATCCTAACCAAGTATATCCACAACTTCTTATAATTATAACTCATACACCTATTTACTATTTATAACTTTATGCATGTAACTAGCACTACAATCACTCAATATCCATGATATTGGTATCAACAAATTTAGGGTCTGTTTGATAACAATTTCAATTTTAGTTTTTAGTTTTATTTTTTGTACTGAAATATAGAGGAAAAAGAGGGAGACTGGACGTGAGAATTTTAATAACTTTATTGAGTTTGCATCCATTTAATGCACCAAATCTGTCAAGAATAAAGGGGAAAGTTTTTCGCTCTTTTAGCCGGTTATTTACAAGTGAAGAAAAGATCAAATCAAAAGAGATATTTATCCTATTTTGTCATGGATTCTGGAGGTGATAAAGATATGCTTTAGGTTTTCGTAATGTACTAGAAATCTAAAGCACTTTCTTATAAATACAATACTTAGGTCCCCGATATCATATACAACTCACAAGCACAAACTGTACCCTATACTAGAGAGAGAGAGAGGAAGATCTTTGCTTCTTGTTCGTGTTTTTATAGATTTATCTCGATGATTTTACAAATTTAGTACTTGTAGTATGCATGTTCATAAGGTCTTACATATGGTATTGGAGCCAGATTCATGTGTGTATAGGTCTAAATTGAGATAAAACATGACAAGCATGCATGAAAGTCCTAATTATTGTTTCCAAGTTTTAAAGTATATGTTGTTATGCTATGCTTGAATGCTAAACTCACGATTGAATGTTGAATCATAGAACTGCGGCACACATTTTACACAAAGAGCATGCCATATAATTTTAGCATATACTTCTGCAAATCCAGATAGGAGTGTGCCTATGGTTGAAACTACTCGAGTATATTTTTCCTTTTCTCTCAAGCATGAATGCATAAAATTTGCATAAAGTAAACCCATGAAGGATGTCATGTTTTGATATAAAACTATTGTGTGTTGTTAAGTCCCCACATGAGCATGAGACAATGTTTCATATCATCTCAAGGTTTTGATGACAAAATTACATCACAAGGCACATCGATTGAGGTTTTCTACTTACAAGTGTCACATTAGTCAATTGTATTTTGTGGTGGAACAAGAAAACATAGAAATTGCTATGAAGATCAAGATCTTTTTAGTCTACAAATTGAGAGATCTTGATAACATTTTACCATGGACAATTCATGATGTTAGACTTGTGAAAGAAATAAAATCATGTTTGATATTCTGTTCATATATATTTATCATATGTGTATAAAGTTATTTGGGGATAAAGATTAATCATATTGCACAATTCTGTGTTTTCAGTTATGAGTCCTACTGCTATCAATTCAATTGAGCACTTGTCTAGTTGCAACTTTAAGAAATGGAAGCCTGATTTACAAATAGTTCTAGGTCTTCTAGATCACAATATACCTTTAAGATAAGAAAGGTCATAGCTCACTAATAAGAGCAATGCTGAAGTATGAAAATGGGAGAAGTTTAATAGAATTTGTTTGCTGATCATGAAGAAGTCCAAGACTGAAGCCATCTATGGAGGCATTCGTGACTCTAAGAATGCTAAGGAGTACTTGGATGCAGTGAGTCAAAAATTCAAGGAATTGGAGAAGGTTGAAACTGGGAATTTGGTGAATAAGTTGGCTACAATGAGGTATGATGGTGTGGAAGATATGAGAGTGTAGGTATGATATAGGTAACTAGAAAACTAAAGGCCTTTGACATTCCCATAGCCAATCCTTTTCTGATTCACCTTGTTTTGAACTCCCTTCCATCACCATATGGTTACCTCAAGGTGATTTATAATGCTCAAAAGGATAAGTGGGATCTCAATGAGCTAATCTCAGTTTGTGTTCAAGAGGAGGCTCAAATCAAGAAGGTAAATGAGGCTAATATTGT